GAGAGGTTATTTTCCTGACACCACTCCACCAGGGCCCTCACCTCCTCCATGTGGCTGTCTCGTCATTGTTGGTAATCAGGCCATACTACTGTTGTGTCGTCTGCAAACTTGATGATTGAGTTGGAGGCATGCGTGGCCACACAGTCATGGGTGAACAGGGAGTACAGGAGGGGGCTGAGCACGCACCCTTGTGGGGTCCGTGTTGAGGATCAGCGTAGTGAAGGTGTTGTTTCCTACCTTCACCACCTGGTGGTGGCCCGTCAGGAAGTCCAGGACCCAGTTGCACAGGGCGGGGTTCAGACACAGGGCCCCGAGCTTAATGATGAGCTTGGAGGGTACTATGGTGTTGAAGGCTGAGCTATAGTCAATGAACAGCATTCTTACATAGGTATTCCTCTTGTCCAGATGGGATAGGGCAGTGTGCAGTGCGATGGCGATTGCATCGTCTGTGGATTTATTGGGGCGGTATGCAAATTGAAGTGGGTCTAGGGTGTCAGGTAAGGTGGAGGTGATATGATCCTTAACTAGCCTCTCAAAGCACTTCATGATGACAGGAGTCATTTAGTTCAGTTACCTAAATGCAGCGTTTACCGTGAATGCTGTCTCCGCTAACGCGGGAACATTGCCTTTAACATTGCCTGTAACCCTGAACTTCTGTGGATTGAATAGAGCCCTAAGTCAACCAAATATAAACATACCATATGAGGAGCCAATATACTGTAATAGCTATACTGTATAGAAAAATAACAAACAAATTCCAATGTACATTGCTATAAGCCCTCCCTCTCAGCGCTATTTGTCTACTTGAGGACCACTTTTCAGTCACCGCTGTTGGCTGACCAATCACTATAGAACAAGGTATACAATATACTATTACCACAATACTCTGAATCTTTCTTTATTCCCTGCTAGATCTTTTTTTTATTTTTTATTCCATCCCCACCACTTTGTCGCTACAAATATGGTCAAACTTCTTAGAGCCCCAGAGTCTTGTGTAGCCTATACCATGTTTAAGGTCAGCTTCCATATAAACAACTCCATCTCATATCTGTTTGTGAGATGGCTCAGTCATATGGGCTTGCTCTGTCCCCTCCGATCAGCCCTCACCTCACTACCCGAGTCATCTTCACATAAATCTGAGGGGCCATGTGTGTGCAACTGGCCCCAAGTGAAAGTTACCATGGAGCAGCTCCAGATGTGCTCATCCTCCCTCTTTCTCTCACTCCCTCCTCCCCACTTCCATGAGCGAGGTTTTCCATTTCCTTTTTTGGTGATAAAATCTGAAAGGCGGGAGGAGGGAGAAAGACATTGAACCAATGCCGGCAGGAGACAGAGTATCTGACGGTCTGTTTGTTATTGGCCTGTGTACTTTATCAAGGCGATGAAACGGCCTACTCAGCATAAACCCACATACACAGCACGTACGCATACACACATAGTTGCATACACACACACACACACACACACACACACACACACACAGTTATAGCAAAGACTTGTAGTTCCTACACCCTTGTGTTATACACTGAACCTTGGCCAACAAAGTAGTAGGAATCTGGACATATACAGTGGGGAAAAAAAGTATTTAGTCAGCCACCAATTGTGCAAGTTCTCCCACTTAAAAAGATGAGAGAGGCCTGTAATTTTCATCATAGGTACACGTCAACTATGACAGACAAATTGAGGTTTTTTTTCTCCAGAAAATCACATTGTAGGATTTTTTATGAATTTATTTGCAAATTATGGTGGAAAATAAGTATTTGGTCACCTACAAACAAGCAAGATTTTCTGGCTCTCACAGACCTGTAACTTCTTCTTTAAGAGGCTCCTCTGTCTTCCACTCGTTACCTGTATTAATGGCACCTGTTTGAACTTGTTATCAGTATAAAAGACACCTGTCCACAACCTCAAACAGTCACACTCCAAACTCCACAATGGCCAAGACCAAAGAGCGGTCAAAGGACACCAGAAACAAAATTGTAGACCTGCACCAGGCTGGAAGACTGAATCTGCAATTGTAAGCACTTGGTTTGAAGAAATCAACTGTGGGAGAATTATTAGGAATGGAAGACATACAAGACCACTGATAATCTCCCTCGATCTGGGCTTCCACGCAAGATCTCACCCGTTGGGGTCAAAATATCACAAGAACGGTGAGCAAAAATCCCAGAACCACACGGGGGACCTAGTGAATACCTGCAGAGCTGGGACCAAAGTAACAAAGCCTACCATCAGTAACACACTACGCCACCAGGACTCAATCCTGCAGTGCCAGACGTGTCCCCTGCTTAAGCTAGTACATGTCAGGCCGTCTGAAGTTGCTAGAGTGCATTTGGATGATCCGAAGAGGATTGGAGAATGTCATATGTCAGATGAAACCAAATAGAACTTTTTGTAAAAACTCAACTCGTCGTGTTTGGAGGACAAATGCTGAGTTGCATCCAAAGAACACCATACCTACTGTGAAGCATGGGGGTGGAAACATCATGCTTTGGGGCTGTTTTTCTGCAAAGGCACCAGGACGACTGATCCGTGTAAAGGAAAGAATGAATGGGGCCATGTATCGTGAGATTTTGAGTGAAAACCTCCTTCCATCAGCAAGGGCATTGAAGATGAAACGTGGCTGGGTCTTTCAGCATGACAATGATCCCAAACACACCGCCCGGGCAAGGAAGGAGTGGCTTCGTAAGAAGCATTTCAAGGTCCTGGAGTGGCCTAGCCAGTCTCCAGATCTCAACCCCATAGAAAATCTTTGGAGGGAGTTGAAAGTCTGTGTTGCCCAGCGACAGCCCCAAAACATCACTGCTCTAGAGTAGATCTGCATGGAGGAATGGGCCAAAATACCAGCAACAGTGTGTGAAAACCTTGTGAAGACTTACAGAAAACGTTTGACCTGTGTCATTGCCAACAAAGGGTATATAACAAAGTATTGAGAAACTTTTGTTATTGACCAAATACTTATTTTCCACCATATTTTGCAAATAAATTCATTAAAAATCCTACAATGTGATTTTTTCATCATTTTGTCTGTCATAGTTGACGTGTACCTATGATGAAAATTACAGGCCTCTCATCTTTTTAAGTGGGAGAACTTGCACAATTGGGGGCTGACTAAATACTTTTTTTCCCCACTGTACTATACTGCCAGTAAAATATCATTTGAATTACATACATTGACTGTCTAAAGCTAGTTACACAAACAAGTGCAGAACTGGATGACTTACTGTAAACAGTATAAGATCACTAGCACAACATCAACCCACACATTAGGGTAACTCTCAACCCCAATTTCAGCCTTTGCCCAACCCCTTCAAAAAATAAGAAAAATAAATGTATTCAGGTGAGAAGTTGTGGGTTGGGGGAATTGCTCATAAATATTCCTTTTGGGGGTGGGTAAATGCAGTTGTACCTAATCCCAACACTTTTTCACTAAAGTATACTTAACAGAAGGCCATTGGCACGCTCTGATAGTAAAATAATGTGCATCGCAAGTACATATGGCTTTGGACAGTTAGCTCACATGGTAAGGTGCCGAGTACTTTTTTATTGCCACTTGCGGTGTATTGCCATTTGGGCACATGAAAAATCTTTGAAATGTGGATTCACATTTATTGCTGTATTGTGTTGGGAAGAAAAGTGCAATCAGCACCTTGAAAATGAAGACTAGGGGCTCAATTCAATCCAACCTACATTGCAGTATTTACGCAGTACCTCTTTTTCCAATGGTCAAATTACCTCACAGATTGGTCTTGGGTACTGTATAAAAACCTACAACTACTACTACCACCAAGGTGACCCATCTCACAGGTATGCTTTCACGTTTCAGAATTAGAATTGTGTGGGCACGGGATGAATATTGTAAATACAGGCCCATGTGGAATTAGAACTCACAATCATTGAACTATGTTTTATCGGACTGTTCGGGTTAGGGGAAGGTTTGGCCGGCTGGGATGTCCTTGTCCCATTGCGCTCTAGCTACTCCTGTGGCGGGCCGGGCGCATGCACGCTGACACGGTCAACAGTTGTACGATGTTTCCTCCGACACATTGGTGCGGCTGGCTTCCGGGTTAAGCGAGCAGTGTGTAAACAAGCAGTGCGGCTTGGCAAGGTCGTGTTTCGGAGGATGCATGGCTCTCGACCTTCGCCTCTCCCGAGTCCGTACGGGTGTTGCAACGATGGGACAAGACTAACTACCAATTGGATATCACGAAAAAGGGGTAAAAAATTAATAAATAAGGAAGCATCATGCCAAATATAATTGGCACACTCCACTTACCAAGACCATTGCCAAATAAGGTGCGCTGTCACCTGCTTTTATAGTAAGCCTTGAGGTGGTACCACCAGCACATCTAGAAGGGAGTGTATTTCATACCGAACCCCTCCCTTGAGATGACTTAGAGTGCCTCTACGTCACAATTTCAATGGTAGAGTTGAACCGCTAGGAGCAAAAAGAGCTAGATTTACTACTAAAAGACCAAAATATATCACTTTTGCAACAAACTGTCAAAATTAAGACCAGAATTGAGGTGTTTCACTATAACTAAGTCTAAAACATCTGGTTTTCGATGTTTTATTTTATTTTTAAGATTCAATTAAGATTTGTTTTATAACATTTTATAAACAGGTCATACAAATTAACAATTTAACAGAATACATTTTTAACTGATTTGAATGAACTCTTCCATCACACCGATGGCGTGTTTCTCCATCTTTTTTAGAATCATAAAAAGCACATTTGCCAACTCTGACTTGCCAGCATCAAAGCTCAAAATAATGAAATAAAGATATTTTTTAGATTTGTTTCTATACATGACAATCTAAATAATATAAAAACAACATCAACAGCAACAATCAATATAATTTTTAGGCAAATAAGTAATGACCAGATTTGGGTTTAATTACTATTTGAAATCTTTCAAATACTTTTAGCCTTTGCCTTAGACTGCCGAAAGTGCCAATGGGTGGGGTTTGCAGTTTTGCGACTATTCTATTGTTTCCATTGTGCCAGGCAAGCTCAATCAAGCCTACTAAAGTATTTGAAATTATTTAAAATAGTATTTGAACCCATGTCTGGTAATGACAAAGACATGCATACCACTTAGTTGATGAAATGCAGCTTAGCTTCTTTGGGACTAGCCCATTCATTATCAAACAAGAGCGATAGTAACAGAAAGATTAAATACAAAGGCGAAAAAAGGAAATACGCTTGATGAAAAACAACATAGATAAGTGTCAACATGGAAAAAAATCAACAATAGTTGTTAAAGGGCAAAGAGTGGTTTAGGGGTTGCACCATATCTAAACGCTCGAGTTGCGTTTGTATGTGCACAGATTATGGGAGCAAGGGGAATATTTTAGCCATAGTGCAAATACATGACAACATTTTGCTTACGTCTTAACTGGCTTCATTGGTTTTCTCCAGCACACCAAGCTATCTTTCTTTTCACGTTCTCTTAATTTCTATATTTTTCTCCATCTCTTGGACCTATTCTTTGGTATACAATAAAGACAATAACTGTCTGGAGCAGTGTTTGACAGCTGCATTAACGAACCACTGCAACATATTTTTCTCTCATATTATTATCTTCAAATAATCATAATACGGTTACAGGGTAAGTAACAACTAAAGTATGACAGCAAATACTGCTTTGAAACACAATTGACACAGGAGAACAGTCATATGCACAAAACTGCAGTTATCAGCATTGAAACACTCAATCAAGCATACTTTACTTGCATAACATATATACAATGTAGTAAATATCAGTGTCCTGTGGCTGCTTTACAAAGTGTCGCTTTCATAGATTAGTGGTGATGCGTTCATACAAAATCTAGCAAATAGTTTGCATAGCTGTTAGCATATTTCTTTCGTTTGATAATACATACTATATAATGTATGGCATTTTTTAAAGGCACATAACAGTTTTTCCACATAGTCAAGATTTTGTGTGGAGAAAGAAAGCCTTGGAGTGGATCTCCCTCTCAATAGCAACTACATCAAAATAGTATGATTTCGAACAATGTTCGATGGACAATTTGCATGTTGGTCAATGTTATCCTCACATATTAAAATGCTATAGCCTCAAATACAGCACATAGGAGTAGTGATACTGGAATTCAATTCTTCAGTGAATTCAGACCCATGGTTTTCACCCATACCAGTTAATTATTTGATGGCAGATATTACTTCTTTGGTAAATCATTATTTTGGTTGGTAGATCATTGGCAATCCATCAAATGACACCACTAATCAGTTAATCGTTCAGCTAACGTTCATAACGGTCCAGTTCTGTCCAAAGATAATACTTTTCCCTCTGTTAAACCAAGGAAAAGTAGGTATATTTGAAAACAATGAGAACGTGCTTCTGCCAAGTTAGATCAACCTTAGTCTGGCTGATTTCTGTCTGTGTTTGTGCTTCAGTAGCCTGATGCTTAGCTCTGGTATTTGACAGCAAGCAGCAGAAAGCACTGGGGGAGGATGAGGGATCGAGCTGTGGTCTAGTGAGCAAGGTGTGTGTGTGTGTGTGTGGGCATGACCTGAGAGGCAGTCTGTGGGTCTGTGTTAACAACCTTGGCAGTGGTGGGGGGGCCCTGGGGTTGACCTAGGCAGGAGTGTGTGAGGAGAGGGGCGAAGCGGTGTTTGTGTGTGTTAGGGGGGTTTATAGATTGCTATTGGTGTTGCAGTCGCGACACAGGATCTGGTCTCCATTGGGGAAGAAGCCCGCCCCCACCAGAGAGACAGAGCACTCTGTGCAGGTGAAGCAGGGCTGGTGCCACTGGCGCTCCTCAAACGAGATGTACTTCCCTCCACCAAAACCTGGACAAGACAGGAAGGTGTTATTTTAAACATTTAAATAGTTATTTAACAAACAGCAAGTAGCCACTGAGGTCTCCTCCCATACATAAACATGTGTAATCAATGGCCACATTCCACAAGTAAAAATAACTAATGATTGAATGCCATGTTATCTGCAGTCGGGCATCAGATTGCAATATTGATGCTGTTACTGACATGTTAAACACTTATCCATCCTTTGTGAGATTTGGTGCGCGACTGCTATGTAGGAAGTCTGGAACATGGCCAACAATTACTCAGTAAACCTGCATCCTCAGAAAAAACAAGGTGTCTATAGCAGCCTTTCTCAACTGTCCCCTGCTACTGGATCATAATAGCTGTCTATGACATTTGACCCTACCTGTGATAGGCTTGCTGCAGGCCTCACACTTCTTGGAGTATAGGCTGCCGAAACACTTGAGGCAGTAGGGGCTGTCTTCGCGCGAGGTGAAGTGCTGCCCTGCCAGCTGCACCTTGCAGCCCGTACACACAAAGCACTCCTTGTGCCACGGCTCATCCCGATATGTCACGCCCCCTTTAGCCAGGGCCTGGAGGGAAGAGAGGGTCAAAGGTCATCATAGTTAGTCAAAGACCACAAGTCAAAATGATAGAATGGAATAGACTCAATAGATTTGTGATTAAAACAAATAATAATACAGAATGGATACCCTCTGTAAAGGCTTTTGCCACACAACTCCATAACCCCTTTGGTTCCCAGAATCAGGAAATAAGGAATAAGCTGGGATAGAATTCTCCCGATTAAAAAGAGGGAATTTGGGGAAAATTCCCACACTGCTCCACACTGACCTTTTTGCAGCGGGTGCAGCGCGGGGTGAACTTGTCCTCGTAGCAGGGCACGCAGTAGTGTTCATCCTTGTCTGGGATGAAGGACTTGGAGCCGATGGGCTGCTCACAGCTGTGGCAGATAAAACAGCCCTCGTGCCATGTGGAGCCACCATACTCCAACTTCCTTGTGCCTGGGAGTGGAGGGAGAGGGGGCGAAAGAGAGGGAGCGAAAGAGAGAGAGTGAGAGAGAGAGGGGGAAGGGGGGCAGAGAGGGGGAATGGGGGGCAGAGATAGATAGGAGAGAAAAATGAAGTGAGAAAGAAGGAGATATTTATTTGGTAGAGGACAATATTGAAAAGCATAAAAAACAAAAAAGAAGGTCCAAGTCAGAAGATGAATTTCAGTTGACAGCGATAATAGCAATAGCATGTCCCACTGTTGAGGAAATATTTTGATGAAGGGAAAATTGAGTGAGAACAAAAAGAAAAAGCCCTGTCAAGAGTGTACAACACTTCACCGCCTGGCTGAATATCCCTGGCAACCGACAGTATTGTAGCTCAATCCAGACCGGAGTTCAAAAACGATTTGAAACAATCTCAAATACTTCAAGCTGTGCTTGACTGAACTTGCCTGTTGCAATGGAACCAATAGAGAAGTCAGAAATGTGCAAACCCCGCCCACCTGGTACTCCAGGCAGGCTAAAGCAAATGCTCAAAATAATGAACCCAGGTCTTGTTCTATCAGATCCATCTAGGTGACCGAGTGCTTCTGAGGATTCCAGGATTCCATTCAAATGACTTGGGGGTATTCTTGAGGGGAGTTAAGTTTGGTATGGAGTTCTAAGGAAAATGACACCTGAGCTTTACCAAGTGAAGCTTGACAGTGCAAAACCACCATAGACAATAAGCCACTAGTGACAGCAAAACATCAGAATAATTAAAACACTTTAATCGGATAGTCCCAACTCCCAATACAGTATATGGTTTTTAGATGTTCAGTAGATGTTCAATAACTGTCAACAACATTTCAACTAACTATCCACTAACCCTAACATTTACCCTAACTCTTATTCTAAACCTAACCCATTTACCCCCCCATAACAAGAAAAACAAAAGGTGGTTGTCCCACTGGCTATCATAAGTTGAATGCACCAGTTTGTAAGTCGCTCTGGATAAGAGCGTCTGCTAAATGATGTAAATGTAAATGTAATACTAAAGATACTTTGTCGATGGTATAACCATCTGTAGATCATCTATATGGGACTATCCAAATAAAGTGTGACTGAATAATATTACACTATACGCAATCTGGTTGGCACTTAAACATGTCATTATTTTCCATGATATATTTATCTTTAAAGTTAGCTATCTGCCATCTTTACTGAATGAGGGTTCTCGGCTATCCAACACCATCAACGCATACCGAATAGATTAAAGGGTATTTCTGCCGAAACTAAAAGAGAAGTAACCACAGAAAAAAAGGTACACCACCTCCACCACACTCTTCCTGGAATCATTTGCTGTTTTACAACTTTTCATTTGGGCTGATACAGTGGTGCTGAAATAGTTTACGGGCTTATCTCATTATCATCTGATACTTGGCCGCTCTCCAAGGCACGGGGATTTGGCTCAGAGACAGCAAGTCAGCCAAACTGGCAATTACTGTCACATTCTGCCCCGGCCGCGCTGACTCGCTAACTCTTTCTCCCCCTCTCTTCTTCTTAGTCTCTCGTACTCCCCCTCTTTCTCTGTATCGCTTTTTCTCTGGCTAGGTGCAAATGTTTTGTTGTCACAATGATTTTTCTCTACATCTCAAGCTTTACTACAAAGCCTCTGTGCTTTTCATGTTCAGTAGCCTATATCTTCAGACCATCTTAAACACTCAGTACACAAATGGTGAACAGTGCCAGGGTGACGCAATGACAAACAATTTCCAAGGGCGTGGGGGAGATCATGATTACAGTCTGGTGTCGCGTAGTGTACAGTATGTGTAGCCTATGTTCCATATATATGCTAGGAGTGAGTGTGTTCATGTCAGTGGAGGCTGGTGTCACTTTAAAATCAGAGGATGGGCTCATTGTAATGGCTGGAAAGGAATGAATGGAAAAGTTCCATTCATTTCATTACACTCACAATGAGCAATTTCTCCCTCCACCAGCCTCCAGTGTTGCATGCATAGTGTTTCCATGCCTCCCACCAGTACCTGGCATGACCGGTCTTGTCGCAGGCCACACACTTGGATGAGAACTCGTTGCAGTAGCAGTCGTTGCACAGCAGCGCCTCATCCTGGCTGGTGAAGGGCTCGTCCGCCAGCGAGCGGTCACAGCGGAAACAACGGAAACAGTGCTCGTGGTAGTGCCGGTCCTCGTAGAACAGCTCCTGGAGATACAACAAGGGCAACAGTAGAGATCAGAATCATAGCTACCATCCACTACCGTTGTGCCACTGAGCAAGCCACTTAACTCCTAAACTGCTGCAGGAGTGATGCACTGTTGCTGACCCTGTGCTTTTTTGGCGTGTTTGGAGTAGGTCAAAATACTGGTTACCTTCGCAATTTGACAATAAAGTACTATTCTATTCTTCCATCCAAAACTATTTATAGACACAATTTCCTAGGACTTCCTGGAAAGGAGTGTAATGTAGACAACACAATGTAATGGAAGGTGTAATGTAGAAGTTATAGGCTACGCCTGGACATTGGATACAATTGCATTGGTGACCTGTTTCAAATGACCAGTAAACCACTGTGACCTCAATGGTCAAGTATTGTAAATTATCTGAAAAGAGTGCATTATACATCTAATTTAAAAAGTGTTCCGGATCTGTCATGAAAACAACTCTGGTGACTCCCAGGTCATCCTGACACTGCAAGTACCTGGACAACACAAGCTAACACTGGGGTTTCTGGTTATGAACAGAGGGAATAGGGGAGAGGTGATAGGTAAGAGAAGAGACGGGAAAGAGGAGAGAGAGAGAGAGAGAGAGAATGTGTGAGTGTATACAATCGTGTGTGTGTATGTGTGTGTGAGAGTTCCCGAGCAACAGTTTGTGTAGTCCAAGAAAAACACAGGCTTTATTTACTGTCCGCTTGCTGCCTTTGAGGGTGTCGATGATAAATCATTGGCCTCCTGTGTGTGTGTGCGTTTGTGTGTCAGTGTGTATGCTAGCCAAGCGTGCAGCCTCATCGCTTATCCCACCCCATCCACTCCCTCTTCTTCCTGTAGCAGCTTAGGCCTGTCTCAAATTATCAACTTCATGTTTGTGTTTTCCATTAAAGAAAGATTAAAACTGCATTCATTGTGGGGAATAAGGAGACATTTTCCTCATGGTCTGCTGGCTAGTTGAGCTTGGTTGGAAACCATCTGTAATGGCATGTTAAATTAGCCTAAACCTTGCACTGCCACATACAGACCATGAAAGACAACTGCCTCATTTAGCATACAGAATACATCATTAACGAGATACGACCCCTAACTACCAGTCATGACCATGTAACAACAGTTTGCAGTGTTGAAATGACTCAACTAGAATTGCATGCCCTAATGAACATGACCCACTAGTGGATCCAAAATCAAAGTCTTACCCTGGCGTCATGGCCGATTAGCTCCTTGCACTCGTCGCAGGTGTTGGCGAACAGGCTGTCGTAACAGGGGATGCAGTAGGGGTTGTCCCCCTCTCCCCCGTCCGCCTGGATGTACTTGCGTCCGTACAGGGACTCCTTGCAGTTGTCGCAGTCGAACCGGTCGCTCAATGTGACTTGTTCCATCCCTGTAACAGAAAAACAGTGTCCGCATGGACATGAGCCTTTAATGAACCCTTAGGGCAAGGGAAGGCGAGAGGCAGGGAGAGAGAGACATGAGGGGTGGAGAGAGGAAGATGAGATGAACTCTGGAAAGGAACGACATCAGTAGCAAAAAATAATTTGGCATAGTGAACTTAACGTTGCCACCTGTAGTGTTTTTGTTTGTTAAATGTGTCATTTGCATTTCTCTGGCTGTTTGTCATTCTTTTCACTTTCTACTGTTCACCTTTAACTGAACTGAAGTTGAACTAAAACTTAACACTCAAGGGAGCGAGAGAGGCAGGGAGAGTGGAAGAGGATAAAGAGAGGGAACAGGAGATGGAGAGAGACATGGATTCATGAGAGGTAGTTCAAAACGGCTATTCACTTTTATTGCTATGTGATGAAAGCTAGATGCACACACAGACAGGCAGACAGACAGACAGACACAGAGAGCTGGAGTTGCACAGAGCTGTCACTTTGGGCTTTGCTTGCACTCCTCCGTAACACTATCAACCCCTCCAAATCTACCGTCTCTGAGATGAAAGGAATGAAGCGGTAAATGCAAATATTTATGAGGTAAATATTTATGTTGGGAAGAGATGGGGATCTGTGTGGACCACCAACCGAGACAGCGGTGAAGACTGATTCAGAGAAGCAGAGAACAGGGAGAGATGTGGCACAGAGTAACCACCCTCATATGTCAAACTCATGACAGTTGACTCTTGTGAAAACACAAATCCAGCATAGGCCTACATACACTATATATACACAAAAGTATGTGGACACCCCTTCAAATTAGTGGATACGGCAATTTCAGCCACACCCATTGCTAACAGGTGTATACAATCGAGCACACAGCCATGCAATCTCCATAGACAAACATTGGCAATAGAATGGCCTTACTGCGCCTCCTGAGTGGCACAGCGGTCTAAGGCACTGCATCGCATTGCTTGCGGCGTCACTACAGACCCGGGTTCGGTCCCAGGCTGTGTCACAACCGGCCGTGACCGGGAGTACCATAGGGCGGCGCACAATTGGCCCAGTGTTGTCCAGGCTGACTTTGGTCGTCAGTTGAACGGTGTTTCCTCCAACACATTGGTGCGACTGGCTTCCAGGTTAAGCAGGCGGGTGTTAAGAAGCGTGGTTTGGCGGGTCATGTTTCGGAGGATGCATGACTCGACCTTCGCCTCTCCCGAGCCCGTTGGGGAGTTGCAGCGATGAGACAAGATCGTATTTGGATATCACGAAATTGGGGAGAAAAAGGGGGTAAAAAACAAAACAAAAATATAAACGGCTTTACTGAAGAGCTCAGTGTCTTTCAACGTGGCACCGTCATAGGATGCCACCTTTCCAACAAGTCAGTTCGTAAAATTCCTGCCCTGCTAGAGATGCCCCGGTCAACTGTAAGTGCTGTTATTGTGAAGTAGAAATATCTAGGAGCAGCAACGGCTCAGCCGCGAAGTAGTAGGCCACACAAGCTCACAGAACGGGACCGCCAAGTGCTGAAGCGCATAAAAGTAATCTAACCTCGGTTGCAACACTCACTACAGAGTTCCAAACTGCCTCTGGAAGCAACGTCAGCACAAGAACTGTTAGTTTGGAGCTTCATGAAATGGGTTTCCATGGCCGAGCAGCCGCACACAAGCCTAAGATCACCATGCGCAATGCCAAGCGTCAGCTGGAGTGGTGTAAAGCTTGCCGCCATTGGACTTCTGGGTTTGGCGGATACCAGGAGAACGCTACCTACCCCATGCATAGTGCCAACTGTAAAAAATAATTGTATGGGGTTATTTTTCATGGTTCAGGCCCCTTAGTTCCAGTGAAGGGAAATCTTAATGCTACAGCATACAATGACATTCTAGACGATTCTGTGCTTCCAACTTTGTGGCACCCGTTTGGGGAAGGCCCTTTCCTGTTTCAGCATGACAATGCCTCCGTGCACAAAGCGAGGTCCATACAGAAATGGTTTGTAGAGATCGGTGTGGAAGAACTTGACTGGCCTGCGCAGAGCCCTGACCTTAACCCCATCGAACACCTTTGGGATGAATTGGAACGCCGACTGCGAGCCAGGCCTAATCGCCCAACATCAGTGCCCGACCTCACTAATGTTCTTGTGGCTGAATGTAAGCAAGTCCCCGCAGCAATGTTCCAACATCTAGTGGAAAGCCTTCCCTGAAGAGTGGAGGCTGTAATAGCAGGAAAGGGGGGACCAACTCCATATTAATGCCCATGATATTGGAATGAGATGTTCTTATATGTTTGTTATATTTATACATACAGTTTTTACAGGAACAGCAGTTTGATGGCATACTACATCTTAGCTGAAGGACACAAAGTGCACAATAATATTGTTTGTGCATTATGGCAATGGTATCAGGTTGCCAAAACATTACAGCGTCGCTGAAGGAAAGCCCTGTGATAAGTGATACAGCTCTCTGGCAAAGCAAGCAGCCGGGTATCGATCTACAACCACCCAGAAATAATAATAATGTCTGATAAAATAATGAATCAAGATTTTGGAGGTCTAGTGCGGCCTGTGTTAATACGCACACACACACACGAATAGTGCAATCACCACAACATATGATACTGGAACAAAGACAACACCAGACCTAAACTATCATGTTTCAGCTCTCGGTGAGGGGCAATTCCACCGTTTTTCCACAAAAACACATTTACTGCTCTGTTCAAGTAAATGTGTTTTTGTAAAATTTTAAGTAGAAATTATTAAAAGTAGTCCTTGTAAGGTTGTAAGGTTTGTTTAGCTTTGCAATCATTGGTTTTTGTTTGACATACATTTTAAATTAAGAAATCTGAGTCTCAGTGTCACTTTGTTAATGTGGAATTGCCCTGAGACAAAGGCTTTAAATGAATCGGGTGATGGAGTCAAGATAAAAATATCCTCACCTGCTCCTAATGTTCATAAATAACCCACTGATGTGTTTTCTCTGAAATGACACCCCTTTACCCATTTTGGAGAGGCACTTTCAACCCCCTCTCCTCCCCCTTCAATAAGCAGAGCCAGAAATTAGGGAGCGTTACTGTTAGGGAGTCCTGCTGCCTCTGGTTCACATCACTAGCCTACCACATCTCTTCAACTGAGGCAACTGATACCTACAGTGAGGGAAAAAAGTATTTGATCCCCTGTTGATTTTGTACTTTTGCCCACTGACAAAGACATGATCAGTCTATAGTTTTAATGGTAGGTTTATTTGAACAGAGAGAGACAGAAGAACAACAACAAAAATCCAGAAAAACGCATGTCAAAAATGTTATAAATTGATTTGCATTTTAATGAGGGAAATAAGTATTTGACCCCTCTGCAAAACATGACTTAGTACTTGGTGGCAAAACCCTTGCTGGCAATCACAGAGGTCAGACGTTTCTTGTAGTTGGCCACCAGGTTTGCACACATCTCAGGAGGGATTTTGTTCCACTCCTCTTTGCAGATCTTCTCCAAGTCATTAAGGTTTCGAGGCTGACGTTTGGCAACTCGAACCTTCAGCTCCCTCCACAGATTTTCTATGGGATTAAGGTCTGGAGACTGGCTAGGCCACTCCAGGACCTTAATGTGCTTCTTCTTGAGCCACTCCTTTGTTGCCTTGGCCGTGTGTTTTGGGTCATTGTCATGCTGGAATACCCATCCACGACCCATTTTCAATGCCTTGGCTGAGGGAAGGAGGTTCTCACCAAAGATTTGACTGTACATGGCCCTGTCCATCGTCCCTTTGATGCGGTGAAGTTGTCCTGTCCCCTTAGCAGAAAAACACCCCCAAAGCATAATGTTTCCACCTCCATGTTTGACGGTGGGGATGGTGTTCTTGGGGTCATAGGCAGCATTCCTCCTCCTCCAAACACGCAAGTTGAGTTGATGCCAAAGAGCTCCATTTTGGTCTCATCTGACCACAACACATTCACCCAGTTCTCCTCTGAATCCTTCAGATGTTCATTGGCAAACTTCAGACGGCCCTGTATATGTGCTTTCTTGAGCAGGGGGACCTTGCGGGCGCTGCAGGATTTCAGTCCTTCGCGGCGTAGTGTGTTTTCTTGGTGACTATGGTCCCAGCTGCCTTGAGATCATTGACAAGATCCTCCCGTGTAGTTCTGGGCTGATTCCTCACCGTTCTCATGATCATTGCAACTCCACGAGGTGAGATCTTGCATGGAGCCCCAGGCAGAGGGAGATTGACAGTTATTTTGTGTTTCTTCCATTTGCAAATAATCGCACCAACTGTGTCACCTTCTCAGTCTGGGGCTTTTTTCATGGTTCTGGCTAGGCCCCTTAGTTCCAGTGAAGGGAAATCTTAACGCTACAGCATACAATACATTCTAGACGATTCTGTGCTTCCAACTTGTGGCAACCGTTTGGGGAAGGCCCTTTCCTGTTTCAGCATGACAATGCCTCCGTGCACAAAGCGAGGTCCATACAGAAAAGGTTTGTCGAGATCGGTGTGGAAGAACTTGACTGGCCTACACAGACCCCTGACCTCAACCCCATCGAACACCTTTGGGATGAATTGGAACGCCGACTGCGAGCCAGGCCTAATCGCCCAACATCAGTGCCCGACCTCACTAATGTTCTTGTGGCTGAATGTAAGCAAGTCCCCGCAGCAATGTTCCAACATCTAGTGGAAAGCCTTCCCAGAAGAGTGGAGGCTGTAATAGCAGGAAAGGGTGGACCAACTCCATATTAATGCCCATGATATTGGAATGAGATGTTCGACGAGCAGGTGTCCACATACTTTTGCATGTAGTGTATATCCACTAACATATACTGTAATGTTATATTTATACATACAGTTATTACAGGAACAGCAGTTTGATGGCATACTACATCTTAGCTGAAGGACACAAAGTGCACAATAATATTGTTTGTGCATTATGGCAATGGTATCAGGTTGCCAAAACATTACAGCATCGCTGAAGGAAAGCCCTGTGATAAGTGATACAGCTCTCTGGCAAAGCAAGTAGCCGGGTATCCATCTACAACCACCAAGAAATAATAATGTCTGATAAAATAATGAATTAAGACT